CTCTGCTTTCTTTTCTCATTACACAGTACCAGTAAGTTGATCTTAAGTCCTTTATTAAATTTTAAACTGCCAGAAGATAATACTAAAGAGTATTTTTGGTAGGTAAATTGCTAGAAGCCACCAGTGAAATGTRCAKGAACCCAATTGGCATGGAAGCCATTGGATAAGAAAGTCTGGTATCTGGGAACTCCCRGATACTGGTTTGAGATTGCCTGATACTTGTGACTTTCTATTCAGCTCTGTCACAGGTTCTGCATGGCACCGGAGATGAATGACCCTGCTGGAGCCACATAGCCACACAGCCTCTCAGAGATGGGTGTGGCTTGCCAAGAGGCCAATCAACCTTTTGACTGCAAGCCATCACGAAGCAAGATTCCATAGGCTGAAACCTTATCCCTGTCTTTGATGTACTCTCTCTTAAATAAAGAACCTGAGCCATTTTCTAGTCATTCAGTGTTAGCTCCAACTGGGACTGGAGGACATCTCCGGAGCTCCCCTTTTTTGAATCCACTTTCTGGCTCTGGCTCTGGCTCTTATTTCTTTACTAATTATTCCAGACTTTCTTTTTCTCAGGTAGTTCATCACCTTCTGAGCAGGAAACTATCCCTGGCAGGGTGCTGGCTGCCGAGGGGTGGTAAATGTTTGTAGAAATTTGCTTTTTAAACTCAAACAAGTGGCTAATTTATATGACATACTCTCATTGAATATTATTTTACTGCAAAAATGGATGAAAACAYACTTTTTGAAACAGAGAACTCCACCTTGCCCATATTGAATATTGTAAATGATACATCTATATAACCTGCAATCTTCCATCATTTCATGCATTTATCTTTATTGCTGTTATCTCTGCTTTCTTTTCTCATTTACAYAGTGCCAGTAAGTTGACTTTAAACCCTTCATTAAATTTTAAACTGCCAGAAGATAAGACTCTTTCTTTTAAAACTGAACTTGGAAAATGGGTTCTGACCATCAGAAAAAGACAGTATTTCTGGCAAGAGGAAATAAGAGATAAACCATAATGAGGTGGGGCTTCACGGGTGTGTTCAGAAAGCCCCAAGCAATCCTGTTGGCCAGTGCAGAGGGTGTGCAGGAAGCTGAGAAAGAGAGAGAGAGAGAGAGAGAGAGAGAGAGAGAGAGAGAGAGAGAGAGAGCGCGCGCGAGCGAGCACTGGAAATGTAAATTGGAGATGTGTCACCAAGAGAAGAGCCTTAGAGGCTGGGTGGAGTTTGGGCTTATCTTGTCAAAGAGGAGCAGTTTGAAGGGAAGAGAAGCACAGATAAAAAGTGAAATGTAGGATGGGTTATGGCTCAGTAGTAGAGTGCTTGCCTTGCACATGTGAGGCACTGGGTTCAATCCTCAGCACCACATAAAAGTGAATAAGTGAAATAAAGGTATTGCATCTATCTATAACTAAAAAATATTTTTTAAAAAAGTAAGTAATATGTGACAGAAGAGCAGACAGAAAAGTGGGTACAATGACAGAATTACRAAGGCCAAGGGGAAAGGGTTGTAGAAGAGGCCCGGGAAGGGGTGACTAGTCTGAATTCTCCAAATGATTTTTTGAGTTACTAGCAGGACAGGAAATACTTAGCTCAGTTGGAAATATGAGATTAACTGTTAGAAAAAAAGATTTGGTTTCAGAATTATGACTCATCACAATCTGAAGTTAAGGACATAATCTAAGATGGGAAGAGTTAAGGAACCAACCTCCCATCAGGGTTCTTTTTATAGGATTTTGAAATGCAGAAACAGAAGGCACAAGGCTGGGAAGGACAGGGTGGGACAAGAGAGGGAAATGCCATCCACAAAAAAAGAGAGCTGAGAAGTCTTCTCACTTCATCATGGAGATCACAGGTCACCCTGGAGAGAGAAGCTTCAAGAGAAGGATGAAAAACCAAGGCAGATGGCCACAGAATGTAGGGCCATCAGGATGGACAATGGCGAGGACAGACTGACTGCACATAGACATCTGTGAGGGCAGAAGTGAGCAGGTTGAAGGGCAAAGGCTGTTTGTGATTTTTAAGACCTGAACATTTGTACTCACACAAGCAATTCCACAGCCCTTCTCAGCCTGTCACCTTCCCCTGCAAGGCCAGTGAGTGACAGTGACACTCAGTTATTGCCTTAAGTTTTAAAATTTTGCCTCTGCTGGGAAATGCCTGCAGGAAGTACCCAGTGTCAGATTTGCCAGAATGCTCTAGCTGACTTCTTACCTGCCCACTGTCCCTGGGTTAAGGAACCCAGGTTCAAGACTCATCCCATAGAAAAACCCATGTCTGAGAGACAGTGTTGGGGAGAGAGGAAGGCTTTGTTCAGTGGCCAAAGAATGGKGAAGAAGGAGCTTAGCTCATGAATCAGCTCCTCAACTCCAGAAGGCTGAGGRGTTACAGATATASGATAGGAATAATGAGGGAGAGGGATAGGCTAATACAGAGGAGGAGTATTCATGTATTTTCTGGGAATAGGTGAAGATCTTCCAGGTTCTCAGTACCACTTCATTTCACTCTTCACGTTATTTGGTGTTTCCAGTCATGGAGGCTGGTAGATGTCTTTTAGTCTTGAAGCAGGCAGAAAGAGATAGTAGGCCAGTCTAGGTCGAGTTAACAATTATAATGGGCCCCATGTGAGCACTTGTAAATATTGCTAGGACATTTTGTATTGTATTATATTGTATTGAATTATTTTTATCATATTGTATTTTATTTCATTTTCTCAGTATTAGGGATTGGATCCAGGGGTGCTTTATAACTGAACTATATAGTCCTAGCCTTTTTGAGACAGGTCTTGCTAAATTGCTGAAGCTRGCCTTGAATTTACAATCCTCCTGTTTCAGCCTCCTGAGTAGCTGGGATTACAGGTGTGTGCCACCAAACCTCAATCTAATCTGTCATTTCTCTATTAATTTTGTATACATGTGTTGTTATTAAACAGAAATGTTTAATCTTGATGTGATCAAATTAAACATTTTCCCCATCATTTGTGCTTTGGGGTGTTTGTTTATGGCATTATTTCCCTACCCCTCAGTTCACAACTTTATATGTGAATATTATTTTTTATTAACTTTACACTTTCACCTTTCATACTGCAGTTTTTTAGATAGGGACTTGRTTTTATTTCTTTGTTATCACAAGCCAGTTTTCCCAGGACCATCTTCTATAGCTTCTGTTCCTCCTCCTGCTAATATATGCACTGTTCTTTCTTTTTAAAATTCCTGTATGAATATGGTCTGTCCCTGAGCTCTCTCTTCTCTTTCATTTTTTAAATTTCTTTTTGCACCAGTACTGTTTTTATTACTATAGTTGCAAATAATTTTTCTTTTTTTAAATTTGGTAGGGCAAATGCATTCTGTACTAATTGAACAAGGGATTATGAGAAGAATGTTTTCAGAGTCTTCAGTTGACAATCCCCCCTTCCTCCAGTTCAATACTCACCTCTATTGATATCTATACYGGTTTTGTTTATTTTTGCTTTTCTCGTGGGTTATAAAAAACCTACAAGCAATTTGGGAAGGGGGTACTGGGGATTAAACTCAGAGACACTTGGTCACTGAGTCATATCACCAGCCCAATTTTGTATTTAGAGACAGGGTCTCACTGAGTTGCTTAGCACCTTGCTTTTGCTGAGGCTGACTTTGAACTAGTGCT